CTTCCGCCGCTGCTTCGACGCTGCGCCCCCCTCTCCGCTGTGTCTGCTCCCCGGGCTCTCAAACCTGCCAATAAACCAGCCTCACTGTCTGTCTTTCTTCCCGGCCCGGGAGCCGCTCTCCCGGGAGCTCGGGGACTCCTCTCGGTTTTCTCTGTCCCTTTGGCGTCGCGCACTCGCCCGCGGCCTGGGTTTCTCTGTCACGGCTGGTGCTTGGCTGGCCCCACGGCCTCCACGGTGGGGACGCGCCTTCTCCTCTCCCCTGGGGGCCACGCGGCCACGTGTGGGGGTCGTACAGGGGAGGAGGGTGGTGTGGGTAGGCCAAAGGCGCTGCTCAACCATCCTGCAAGGTCGGGGGCGACCCCATCACAGAGGATGGTCTGGGCCCGGCCGGGCGGCTCAGGGGCTGAGCATCGACCTAGGAACCAGGGGCCTCAGTTCGATTCCCGGTCAGGGCACGTGCCCCAGTTGCAGGCTCATCATCCCCAGTGCGGGGCGTGCAGGAGGCAGCCCATCAATGATTCTCTCTCATCATTGATGTTTCTCTCTCTCTCCCTCTCCCTTCCTCTCTGAGATCAATAAAAAAGAAAAGGAATGACCTGGGTGGTGCTGAGGCATCTTAATGGCTTTTTTATTTTATTTTAATATATTTTATTGATTTTTTACAGAGAGGAAGGGAGAGGGACAGAGAGTGAGAAACATCGATGAGAAACATCGATCAGCTGCCTCCTGCACGCCTCCTACTGGGGATGTGCCTGCAACCCATGTACATGCCCTTGACCGGAATCGAACCTGGGACCCTTCAGTCCGCAGGCCGATGCTCTACCCACTGAACCAAACCAGCCAGGGCCTTAATGGCTTTTAAACACCCTGCGTGCTGTGCAGAGCGAGGACAGTGCGCCTGTGTCGCAGGGAGAAAAGGCCCGTGAGAGCCGTTTGCTTGTGGAAGGCAGTGACTCCCAAGCTGCGGCCTGGGCGCGGTGAGCGAGAGCGTGGCTGCTCGGAGCTGGGCAGCCTGGGGTCAGGCCCTGGGCCACCTCTTCGGAGTCGGGCGCCCGGGCACGTCCTCCGAGTCGGTGCCTCAGTTTCTTCAGCTGTCACAGGGGAATGGTGACGACACCCGATGGACTTCCCACGAGGATTCGATGAGTTCGTGTTTGTACGATGCTCAGAAAAGCGCCTGGGAGTGTTCAGTAAAAGATAAAATCTAGAGTTAGCTGTTTCCCAACAGCACGGCCGGGAGGTTCCAGGGCGACAGTGTCCGTCTCCGGCCTTTGTCGTGTGGATTTATATCCCGCGTGTCCTCCGAAGGGTGTTAGTTGTCGAATAAACCTGAGCAAGGCCTCAGTGACAGAGACAGTCGCGACTCAGACAGGCCAGGGGCGGTGGGGGCGGTGAGCAGGCGGCCCTGCTGTTCGCGGCTCTGAAGCAGTGCCCGCATGGGGGTGTCACGGCTCCTGGTTGGGGGACACCTGATTCTCCCAGCCCGGTTGTGGTGGCGTTGCCCTGGCAATCGGTACCAGGCCTACCCGTACGATCAGTGTGCTAACCCGAGACTTGGGAAGCAATAACATGTAGCAGCGAGGGGAGCTTACGTAACAAGCAGGCTGGGCGAGCGGATCTCTGTCTGAGTCACAGGGCTACCGGCCAGACCTCTGGTTTCCTTCTTCGCTCTTTTTAATCCTCAACTGAGGATATTTCCACTGATTTTTAGGGAGAGTGAAGAGCGAGGGAAGCAGAGAGAGACATCGATGTGAGAGAAGCACATCGATTGGTTGCCTCCCACTGGCACCCCGACCAGGGCCTGGGCTGGGGAGGAGCCTGCAACCGAGGTTCATGCCCTTGACTGGAATCAAACCTGGGACCCTTTGGTCTGCAGCCAACACTCTACCCACTGAGCCACACCCGTCAGGGCAGACCTCCGGGTTTTGATCCTGAACGCCAGCTCCGCTGCCCAGTCCCTGCCCAGTGCTCAGTGCCCAGTGCTCAGTGCTCAGTGCCCAGTGCCCAGTGCTCAGTGCCCAGTGCTGTGCTCAGTGCCCAGTGCTCAGTGCCCAGTGCTCA